AATCTTAATGATACTATTGACACAGACACCATAAAATATTCCTTCCTCCTTCAACATTATGCGATGCGACAGGCCAAACAGTTCTAGGGGTGGTTGTGGCTTAATGATAAACAAAAAACTAGCTTACACAGAATTAGTTATGGATAGTAAGCTTGATAACATTGAAGCATTATGGGTGAAGCTTAAGAATAGCAAGATCAATGTTTGCTGCTTCTATCGCTCTGGAAATTATTGCAGTGTTGATAACTTTATTGAGTACATTCATTTTTGCATGAAAAAATTGAACGGAAAAAAGGTTATCTGGATTGGGGATATAAACATTGACCAGAATAATATCTCATCCACCCAGTACAAAAAATTAGATATGACCTTGAGATGTTACAATCTAGTTCAAACCATTCAAGGGATAACTAGAGTTGCTAAACGTGGAGACAATTTTACCCAGACTACTATTGATGTAATATTCACTAACTGTTATGCAGATTTTGTTCAATCTTCTGTTCTTGATGAACGTATTGGGGATCATCAAGCTATTATGTGTGAGATAGATTGTCAAGTACCTATAGCTCCTAAATTTGAAAAGGTTGAAATTAGAAATCATTGTAAACGTAATGTTAAACAATTCTTAGACTATCTAGATACCTGTTCTGATTACAGTCCACTATTGGAAAGTACAGATGTTGAAGCTATCACTGCTGGCCTTTGTCATCATATTGAACAGGCATATGCAACCTGCTTCCCTTGCAAGACCATAGAAAGGCATGAAAAAGTTCATACATAAACCTTCTACTGAACTTTTAAATGCCATTAATCATACACATTTTCTCTAAAGAAATTCCGTAAAAAGAAGGATAAGAGGGACAATGGAAATTGCAATAAATGTGGTATATGTAGCAAATGTATAAAGTGTAATGAGGCCTGGGATTGCTACAAGATTCAGAGAAATATTAGAAATAAATTAGCTAAAACCTGCAAAAAGGCTAATGTAATCGATGATCTACAAGTTAAAAGTTGCCAAGAATGATCTTAAAGGGGTATGGAAAACTATCAAACTGGCATCAAATATGACCCCTGGTACAACTAATTGTCAAACTATCAATGAGAATGATCCTGAGCTATTTAACTTTCATTTTGCAAATGTTGGATCAAGATTACAAAATCAGGCCCCCAATATTGAAAGAGTTAGTTTTACTGATTTTTTACCTCCTAGAACTTCTAACATCTCATTTGATAGATTCCAAGAAATAAATGAAACTGATATCCTAATGTATGTCGAAACACTCAAGAATGACAAGGCCTCATATGACGATGTGCCTCTATTTTTTACTTAAGCAAGCTGTACCACACATAGTTGAGCCACTGACCCATATTGTCAATTTGAGCCTTAATACAGGTGTTGTACCAACCCTTTGTAAAAAAGCTAGAGTAACTCCCATCCATAAGGCAGGAATGAAAGATGATCCTAATAATTACAGGCCAATATCCATCCTTCCACTTGTAGGAAAACTTATAGAATACTTTGTCGGCAAGCAACTCACCGATTACATGGAAGAGAACAAACTTTTCATCCGGCATCAATATGGCTTTCGGAAAAATCACTCCACAACTTATTTGATGTACGATCTGATGGACGAAATATATATGAGTAAATCTAAGTCTTATAAACCAGGAATCATCTTTCTTGATCTTAAGAAGGCCTTTGACACAGTGAATCATGAAATATTGCTTCAAAAATTGGCATATTATGGAATTGGTGGCATTGCTTTAACCTGGTTTAAGAACTTCTTATCTTGTAGATATCAATGCACAAGGATCAATGGCAAAAATAAGCTCATTTTTTAGAAGTTCTGAGTGGTGTACCACAAGGAAGCATCATTGGGCCTATATTATTTAGTATCTTCATAAATGACATCATTTATGCCTGTAACCTATCTAAGCCCTTTCTATTTGCAGATTGATGGTGCACTATTCTTTGATCAAACCTGCAGAAGCACATTTATAAACATGAAAATAGAACTTATGACAATCTTTAAATGGCTCAGTGTAAATAATTATCACTCAATGAAACGAAGACTGAATTCCCTTGTTTGATTCTGTTGATCAACATGATGAATTAACCATTGAATGTAATGAGGTAACTTTCACAATCAAGGAGTGCAAAGAGACAATATATCTTGGCCTCATTCTAGATAGTAAATTAAACTTCAAAAGCCATGTAGATTATATTATTAAGAAGGTCATGAAGAGAATTGGTGCCATGTATAGAAGTAAAGCACTGCTACCCATTAAATATAGGAAAATGTTTGCCAATGCACTCATGTTGCCACAATTCGATTATTTAGACACGATCTATTGTAGAGCTGGCAAGACAAAACTTGCTGAACTTGACACTCTGTACAAAAAGGTAGCCAAAATAGCTCTCAACGTTCCACAAACAGAGAGCAGCCTTAATGTTTATAGAGACATGAAATGGTTACCACTCCATCTTAGACGACAACTCCATCTGTCAAATTATATGTTTAGAATCATCCATGACAATTGTCCTACAAACTTTATGAACAAATTTAGTTACATATCAGGAGGTAGTAGGAGCGGCGAAAGCTGCAACCTATATGTTAATAGATCAACATCACATAAAAACTTTCAATACTTGGGGGCAAAATGTTGGAATAATGTTCCAACAGATCTACGAAATCTGCCCGATGTTAAAAGCTTAAGTGATTCGTATAAGAAACAGCTACTCTCATCTATAACAACAGACCCTAATTATACCGTCGACAATTCATATGACAAATTTTACACTGCAATCATAGTCGACGATAACTAAGTATCTTCTAATTCTTTTAAATCTGAGGCATATATAATTGATGTATCGAAAGGATTTTCCCTTTTTTTACCTTTTTTTGATTGATTTTGCACATGACTGACATGTTTTAACTGGAGGAAGGGTTCGCACAGTGGTAGTTTTATAAACCACTTTTAATTTATTGACCTATTATACCTAGTGGTAGTTTTATAGACCACATTTAATTTATTTACTTATTATACTTAGTATTTATTTTTGGTGACTGTATCACCCAGTTTTAACATTTGATAATTGTACAGTTTATTAACGACACATTGACTGAATGTTATTTTATATTCTCTAATTTATATTCTAGATATTTTATTTATTTTTCAACAGACGACAACTTCCTGTTTTTTCTTCTATATTAGTTACTCATATCTCTTTTACAGACTCTTTTACAAGGACATTGACAGATGATACTCACATTAGGCATTCATTATTGCATCTAAATTATTTCACTTGCATTAGGTTTAGAAATTTATTCTCTGGTTAACAGATTTCAAATGTTTAATTAATTTGTAGTATGACAGTAAGGTATATATATATAAGAAGTTATTTAATTTTGCTTGGGCTATTATATTGACTATTGAGGTTTAATGATGATATGGAATTTGAATTCTATATAAATTTACACTATGTGGTTGGGGCATTTTGCATAGTAAATATGGTTACTACTCCTATATATCATATTATTTGATTGGTATTCGATTTCTGATTATTTCTCTAGGAATATGATTATTATATCTCAATTTGGCTTTAGGTAGGGTGCCCCGCTAAAAGAACTGGATTCTTCCAGGAAGCATCCCGTGCACAGACCTTGGTCTACATATATATTAAATTATTAACCATTCATTCTGTATGTGCACGAAAATTTATTTCAATCAAAATAGTTCAGATCATGTCTCTGGAACTGCGTTGAATCGAAATCAGATCGAAATTTCGGACAACTGTCGCTATCACAATTTCGAAGTGCACCTTACCCCTGGCCTCAATACATAATTTTGGACTCGACGTTTCCCCCCAGTAATGCGATCTCGGAAGGCAGGCCTACCTTGCAACACGAGCTCGGAAGCGGGAGCTCTTGATACAGGAGGGACGTATCGAGAATGACTCGGACCAAAAATTTTCTAAGACAAATTTTTTTCAAAGTTTTTCTGAAAACACTTTATTCCACGATTTATGTCACCCTGATCATTATGAGCCAAAGATATTTTTTCGATTTTCGAAGTCCGGATCTACCCTTCGATATACGATTTCGGACTCGAGGGTTCCTTCTTGTAATGTGATCTCGGAAGGCAGGCCTCCCTTGCAACACGAGCTCGGAAGCGGGAGCTCTCGATACAGGAGGGACGTATCGAGAATGACTCGGACCAAAAATTTTCTAAGACAAAATTTTGTCAAAGTTTTTCTGAAAATCACTTTTTTCCACGATTTATGTCACCCTGATCATTATGAGCCGAAGATATTTTTTCGATTTTCGAAGTCCGGACCCGAGGGTTTCCCTATTATGTCCGTCAATGTCCGCTAATGGCCCAAAAAACACGTCTGTTGTCTCATAGAATCCTAAAAAGGACAGGACATAAGCGGACCTGGGCGGACAAACATGATGAGACTTTTTTACAAATGATTAAGGACTCAAGGATTCCCCTTTGTTTTGCGATCTCGGAAGACAGGCCTGCCCTTTGCAAAACGAGTCCGTCTGAGTCCGACAATGTCCGTCCGAGTCTGCCAATGTCCGTCCAAGTCCGCCATTGTCCGTCCAAGTCCGCTAATGTCCGTCCAAGTCCGCCAATGTCCGTCTATGTCCGCCAATGTCCGTCCAAGTCCGCTAATGTCCGTTTATGTCCGCCAATGACCCAAAAAACACGTCCGTTGTCTCGTAGAATCCAAAAAGGACAGGACATAGGCGGACATAGACGGACGTGACACCCCCCCCCCCCCCCCCATAATTTATCAGTAGTTATCAAAACACAAGCGGAGAGCCATTTAAAGACCCTAATGCTGTTTTGGGTGGCAATCGCACCAAAGTAGCTTCAACAGCGGTCTTGCTTTGAGAATATTTAGTATTGATAATCAAATTTTCCTGGTTCATATTAATAATTTCATATTTTGTCATTGGCCATACTGCTAACGTTAGCTTAATCTCCAGGTCCTCAGCAGGCAACTATACCAAAACCAGAACGATGTAAAGATAGTGGCTGTAGACCTGCAAGCAATGGCACCCCTACCAGGTGTTATACAGATACAGGGTGACATCACCAAGACATCTACTGCTGAGAATATCATCCGACACTTTGAAGGTTAGTTAACTGAGCTCACCGGTAAGATTTTCAGATATCTGGTCTGAGTTTGTTACAAATTGTTAGTATAACAAGTGTTTATAGACTTAACAGTAAAGTTGGAAGGTGAATCGGATTTGTTCTGACACATGACAGCAATTCAATGAATTGATCGATTCCCCTATCAAGATTCTAAAAAAAGTGCGATGAGATTGGATTTTGACACTAGAAGTGCGATTTTCACGTGTCACGTGCAGTGGCGAAATGTACTCCCCACCCAACCCCCCCCCCCCCCCTCCCCCCCCCCCTCCAGCCTGTAAGATTTCTTGCCCCACTAATTATTTTCTATTTAAAAAGATTTCGCGAGTCCCTTTGTAAGCGAAAAGTATGTCACTGTTATTGGATCCATAAATAACGAAAAATTTACGTGCGTATTTTTATGAATTATATTATGTTACATATTGTAATTATGGTAAGCCTCACGTAGCCCGATGGTTTAGGGCGCGCTCGCCAAGCAGTTGACTCGGGTTCCAGTCTCGTCAGCGGTCATTCTTTTGGCAATTATTAATTATTTTACTAAAATTATCATCAGAGCACCTTGTTATATACGTTATCCGATAGATTATACTGTTCGTACTTCATCTAGAGAACTAAGATCAAGAGAAGACTGGCATTTAAGGATTTGTCCGGGGAAGGCCTCGTTCACACTGGAACATGTCAAATTATTGTAAACGGAGTTATCTGGTAATGTTTGTTTTGTTTATGGCTAGAATTTAGAATGGAATCAATGTGATGAGGATCCAGAGTTAATTACCTGCTACGATTAATAAGTCAGTTCTCCAGTTGAAGAGACCCTTTCTCAAACTTTTAATTCACTATGCCTATGGCAGTATCAAGTATATTCTGAGAAAGATTGAGTAGACTGTAGCCAGGAATAGTACCTCCTTTAATGGTAACCATGGTAACTATAGTAACCACTGTGAATCTTGATCTTATAACAACTAGTATCATTTAAGACTTAGACAGTACAGTGAATAAACACGCTGAAAAGCGATGAAAATGCAAGCGCGCGACCGAATATGTAGTGCTGAAAGAGGGTGCCGAAATCTCGCGGAGAATCTCACGATATCGTGAGCCTAGCTATGAGATTTAAACGAAACTCGCAAAAATCTGGCAAAAATCTCGCGCGCGTTACGTCGAAGTTTTCACGCTATAAACAAGTGATAAAATACACGTTAAGAGTATAAAATACATGTTAAGTTCCTAATTACCTCAACTTTTAAGTTAAACTTTTTCTGTTTCCTCATTTATTTACAAATTTTGTGCGATGAGTCCGGCTCGCAATCTCGCATAAATCTTGAGCTGGGGATCGATTTGATTGGTTGTTGCTGAAACTGGTCATTGGAGTTTGGACGTCACTTATCATAGGTGGTAATCCTGCGCGGTCGATCGCTTATTTCGAGACGTAATACAGCTTAAAAGTTGAAGACAAGTTCAATCAAATGGATCTTTCGACACTTATTCATCTTTCGTGCAATTATCTTGAAGTAAAGTTTTTTAGAATGGAAATACTTTTAGCTTTACTGATGGAAAGTTTCACGATGTTCTAGAGTCAACGTCATCCATTTAAGTGACAAAAGGACGCTACATGTCACAGAATGACTTGATTCTCCGTTAAAAGTAGCCATTAGGTAACTTCATGACCTTAGCAATGTTTATTTCGTGTTTGAAGTAAGTTATAAGCTCTCTGTGGAATTTGGCTTAACGTAGTTTTAATTGCCAGAAACACTGTCAAATACGCAAGAGGGCTTGTTTGAAACTGCTTGGCGGATATCCTGCCGCAGCGCAATAATCCCCACAGATTTTAGTGAATTATAACAGAAACGTAGGTTTCCTTCTCAAAACTGCACATTATTTGAGAAAATTTCATGTTTTGGAGTTCCTTAAATCCACACGAACACAAATATGTAATGAGGTGAGGTGAGACTGACACGATGTACTCTCATCAGAAATTTATCAGAATCTTGCTAGTCCTTTAGCTAAAACTCTGCTCTCTGTACGAAATAAAACGCTTTTTCCCCGCCCAAAGTTCAAATTTTGAAATGGATTATTTTTGAAATAGGAATAACTTTTTAATGTTTTAACTTTAACTGTTGCATTCACAAATATCATCAACAGACAGAAACCGACTTCATGTTATAAAAATCAACTACTAAACTGTGATTTCAAAACTTAAGTCTTAAAACTTAGGTTAAACTAAACATAATTTTTTTGTATATTTTAAAGTAATTATTTGCTTTTTTTGGGTTTTTTACTATTAAGGTATCAAACAATATAATGACTAACTTTAACATTAAACTTAACATAATTTTTTTGTATTTTTAAGGTATTAAAGTTTCAAACAATATACATGAAATGAAATGGTTTTAAAACAAGCAAAATATACATTCAATCAAGTGTTGCAATAAGCAGAGCACATTTATTAGGCAGGGTAAACTGTCAAAGTTGTAAAATAGTTAATAATAATATGCAAAATTTCTATTCAGTTGCAGTTAAACTTGAAGCAGCTATACATAAGGAATTAGCGAGCATCAGCTTGTTAAGGACAGCTGGAGTGGGCTCGGTTAGCGAGAATTGCTTTTTACCACTGGGTAAAACGGTGACTCTACCTAAAAGAGAAGCAGCCACAGTGTGGTACTCCTCTTTGTCAGCAAACTCATACCGACTTCCCTTTGGGGAAAGGTAGACAATCTCATAACAAGGCTTGGAACGGTCCTTGTTCAACCGACTGAACCCTGCAGCAGAGCAAACCTTACACTTGCCAGCAGGAATAATCCTGGAGATCTTGCCAATGTACCAGATATTGGACAAATTCTCCAACTGCCAATAACAAGCTACCCACTGCCCCTCTGATAATTTAGTCTTATCATTAACAATTTTTCTTACGCTGTTTGACTCCGTGAGTTTCTTCTGTAACGTGTCCAATCTCTTGATCATGTCATCTTCAGGGGGAGTAGTAGGAAAGGAGTTGGAAAGGAAGTCCGGCTCTAGCAGCTGAATCAGATTTCTTTTGAGCTCATCGAGTGGTTTGGGGTTGATTTTACCAAAGTCGTCCTTTCGCCTGACCTTGAAAACTGACCTGTCTTCCATGATGTGATTATCGTAGGTGTTGTCCCGCATGTAAAATATTTCAAGCTGGAGCATCTTGAATTTCTCCTTTTCGTCGGTCTTACTAAGGATTGCTTCCAGCTCTACTTTGCTTGTTACCGGCCCACCATGATCTTCTCGGCACTTCCGGAGACTGTCCCTCTTCTTCAATACCAACTGGTCTTTCTTGACCTTTTGAACATCAAATTGCTGGAGTTTGTGAGCATCTGAAGCTTCCTTGCCCAACTTCAGAATATCCCTTGCCTTCAGCGCCTGCGGACTCTTCATAGCGAACTTGATGTAGGCCTGCAGCTCCTCATCCGTGCAGCTGTCCATTTCCCGGATCCAGGGTGATGCTGCGATGATCTGGGCCTGTCCAATAGTGAAGATATCAGCTGTTCGTGCCAGCTTTTCTCCGTGGCGGAACTCGCTAACCTGCAAGTAGTTGGATGTGCGTTATATTTATAATAACATTGAAATGAAGCAATGATCTGAGTATAATGAAGAATTAAGATGTCTCAATAAAATACACAATTTAGTAGAAAAGTAAGCCTTTATAAGTTAATTTTGAGAAAGCCGACCTGATGCTCAACAGCAAGTGCATTTGTTGGTACTCCATTAAACTTGTTTGGATTCTCGTCCAGTAACAGTTTAAATCTTCCGTTGTTAAGGTAACATTCAGCTTGCTCCCTGAAGGTCCCTGCATACCCTTCAGCAATAAGGGAGGCGATTCTCTTGACCACTTTTAGAGACATGTCACAAGGGTCACTCTTAATCTCTTCGAAGAGGCTCTGGTAGATGTCTGAGTGACCGTGATGCGACACCTTGATTAGTTTCGGGTATTTTTCGAGGAAAGGGAGCTGTTGCGGAGACAGGAGCGGGTCAGTGGCTCCAGCGCTCAGTGTCCTCAAAGCTGCGATCAGTGCTGGGTAGAACTCACAAAGCTCAAGATGTGACAGCATTTTATACCCCTCCACCGTCTCTGTCCCAACTGCAACCTGGGGTATGACATAGATATCAAATTCAGAGGAAAGAACTATCAAAAGAAAAGACAAAAGAAAATTTTACTAGAAACATATCTTTTAATGTTTTGTGGGATTTTCCCTCTGAAAAGTAAACTCACTAGAAAAGGTCTGATCACATGGTAGTACAGTAGTCCAACAGCGAGGCAGATTTCTCTAAAGTATGGACAGTTCACGTATCTCTGACAGGACATGAACATCCTGTTGTCCATATGAAGCGTATTCAGAAATCCTTCGATCGACCTGAGATATGATAGACATTAATTCTAGAATGAGCTAACCAGGCAGAGCACACTAGCACAGGGTGGATCTATCTTTCAAATTTAAGAAATAAAAATAGTTTAACTTGAACGATTCGGTATTGGAGCAGAAAAAAACTTACTTATAGTGGTATGCGATGAGAACCATAAACTCAGGGTCCTTGCCGAACCTTGAGGAGTGAGCATCTTGTAAGTGATTCTTCTTCTCACCAACCACCCTCTTTAGGTAAGTGGAGAACTTCTCCGTCAGGGACCACTCTTGATTCTTGCTGGAGGGTCCCAGCAAGTTCATGAGTGCGTACACCATGGTGATTGAGCAGGACTTATTTGTCCCAAAGAACGAGGAATTGTAGCTTTCTACAACGAACTTGCGAACCTCTATAATTGCGGGTATTTTACACAGTGCCCAAAACTGGTTATCATGATTGGTCAAACTGTCACTGCTAACAATCAACAGTAATATATTCATGTGTGAATGGCTATACTATATGTATAGGATAACAGTGAACACATAAAAATTGGTTATTGTGTTTACCTATAACTTCTTCGAACTCCAAAAGCACCTTGGTGAGCGAGGATGCCAGAGCTGGTT